ACGATCCGTAAACGGTGAAAAAACGATTTATTTAAGATCCTAAAACGTTACGAGTTTTAGGTTCTGAAAACGGTCCGTTTAGGAACTAAAAACGGTCCGTTTACGGCACGTTAACTTACCGTTAACGGTGCCGTTTTCTTGGACCTGGGTTCACTCATATATTGATGATTATCTAGCCCAAATAAAAACTATCTATTAGTTTCTACAAAATGATTTCGATGACATGAATTTCTACAAAATGATTTCGATGAAATGAATTTCTACAAAATGATTTCGATGAAATAATTTTCGACGAAAGGTCAGTGAATCAATAAATAGTGCATTCTTGTCAAGACTTTTCCTCACTAGGCTTTTTTCACTTTTCTCTCAAAACAAACATTGCCATGAAATTGAGAGTAGTTTATGTTTCTATTGTTTTTGAGGTTCTCCTCACACGTCACAGTGGAAATTCAGGCGGACTTTTGGCCAAAAATCGAATGGTAAGGAATGAGGGAAAATATTTAGCCAAACATAGACCTAAAAACAGTGGCTGATTCAAACGAAGCAGTCCAAAGGTCGAAGAACATCTAACAAAAACTCTAGATTCAATTTTATTATTGCAAGAGATTTAGACGCACATCTCTTTAAAGACAAAAACAGTGACTATAAGTACTGCGAGTGAAGCGAAGAGGAGTGCACAGTCTATCAAAGATTCTTCATATTTCTCAAAGATAACTACATCATATATGAGTTCTCAATGAATTTACATTGTGAATACTATGATTTTTACAATAAAATATGACTAAAGCCTTGATGAGAGAAAAGAAGAGGTAAAAGTAGTTCGCTTAGTGAAGCATGACAATAGAAAGAAGGTATCTTTCATCGTCAAAAAGAAATTTCCAATTTATAATGACTAAGATGGCTGGTGGCCTATCAAAAATATTGCCATTCAATACAAAACTTCGCGCATTATTCTTTGATAAATATCCGTCCATTCCTCCTCCTTCTCAGCATCAACTATTATCGGTCAATCTCATCGCGCCTGCCAAACGCCATTTGAATTTCTTCGACGATGTTCGTCAAACAACAATCGGGCAAGACCCATTAGACACATTCGACGCAACTGGCGACTACGTTACTTATATGGATAAATTCTGGGGTGATGTATCCATATTCAAGCCGGGTATTCGGATCTCGTACATTTGGCTTGTTCACATGTTAAATCCACATTCGTATCGGAATGATTTTCTCAATTCATTTGGCTTTGTGCCGTATACACCAAAGAGAAAACTCGTCCGTACATCGAGAAAGAAGTCTTTAAACCCATCGATTGATCTTGTTGCTGCTGCACAGCGGCAACGTTTGTTTGTTGACAACAAAGTGCCGTTGCTGCGAAAACAAGTATTCGTCAATGATGAAGATTTTGTCCGTGCTCAAGATGATTATGTCAAATTTTTGCGTTTGATCAGACTCAAAAAGCCAGAAATATGCGTGCCAACATTGGAAATTGATCTGATATGGCATACACACATGCAATGTCCGCACAGGTAAGAGGAATCTAGATAATTTCACATGCTCTTACGGATTTCTGCATAGTTACTATCTCGATACTCAACGAATATGTGGCTTTTTCCTTAATCACAATGACAATTTACCAGATAGTCAGTTAAGATCGGGTTTGGAAAGTACTCGCAAAGCTTGGAAAGAAGAATACAATGAAGAATATCCGAGAAAATGCCGACGATCTAATGATCAAGGTGATGGATGTTCAGGTGGCAGTTCAAGCAATAGCCTACGAGAGCAACCGCCAAGTGAGAACGATTACGTCGGTACTGATTTTTCTGGTGATATGCTCGTTATCCGTGAAAATGTTCAAGAAATGGAATTGATAATGTCCTCCTGTTCGAACGCCTGGAGTGGTCGAGTAGCCAAGACAAGTGTTGATGATAATGAGATAAATGGGAAGAACGGTAGTTGTGGAACGATGACAGAAAGTGTCGCTGCAAGTTGTGGAAACTGTTCATCGGGTTGTGGTGGTGGTGGTGGTGGATGCGGTGGATGTGGTGGCTGAGGAGGTTCATGAAATGAAATAGTTTGTAAGGAATTTGAAACACAATGCGATTTCAAGTTTTGACTTATTTTTATGTTAGCTTACATATGTTGACGAATCTGCATCTATGACGTTCCTGCCGTGTTCTGTAACTGTTATTTTTTTTTTGCCTCAGAATGCGAGTGACGACGATGATCACGATTTTAACATTACTCTTCATTTGATGCGGTAGTTAGCGAGAAAACTGCAAAAGATTAAAAGTTTTTAACACACTGAGATTGACCGTCTAGAGAAAGTGCACGTTTTTCGGCACCGAGCGAACGTTTAAACCGTTTTACATATGTAGGAACATCCTCATTTTTACAGTGTGTAATGCTAGTGTACAAAAAATTTTTAGTTTACTCTTAAAGATGTATGTGAAATAGGATTATTTTCTTATGTAACTAACTCTCAATAGAACGTGCGGTGAATGTAACGGATCTGACTCACACTTTGTCAATGTACACCTCACGTATGCAATTTGTGTCAGAGAGCCCGAGCTTTAAAGTTTCTCAGAATAGCTTTTCTGCCACTAAAAGAGTGATATTCATAGAAACAAGATGAAGAGTAAAGGTTTTTCGCTATTTCAGAGCCTAGACTTTGATACATTTCTTAATTAAAAAATTTAATTCAGAATTCTTTCTCTAAAGTGGAAAATTTTAGATCTTTGGAAATCAGCTCTTGTTTCAAGAACTTCAAAAACAAATATATTTTTTCTGGGAACTTCGAAAGTACAAACAGCCTGTTTTCGCACTTTGGAAAGCCCCTTTTACATAAAGCATCTAAAAGAAACTATATTTTGAAATTTTCTAGTATCTTGAATCTATTTCTAGGGAGCTACTGATCTTCAATTTCGGATGAAAATAGTCTGACATGGGTGGTTATTTTATCTAAAGAGGGTTATTGCTGGTCAGTCTCGGGGCCACAAGAAACCCTATATCAAGCCTAGGTAGTCGAAAATGATCAGTCTCGCTTGATTTCCGTTTTTAAGGGATCAGTTTGGGCTTTCTTTCCCATGAAAACAGACTACATACCCGTTTTTGAAGTTCTTTAATCAAGAACTGATTTCCAAAGATCTAGAGTTTTTCAATTTAGAGAAAGAATTCTGAATTTATTTTTTAATTTAGAAATGATATGAAGTCTCAGCTTTGAAATAGCGAAAAAATACCAGTCTCCATCTCGTTTCTCTCAAAATTTTTTCCTAAGACGATCGAGAGCACAGTACTTCTTCACAGACAGTAGTTGTTAGACAGGAATATTCTCTTTTATTGTTCTTTGTTTCTTATTAGAAAGAATAATATTGACGAAAAATAGATAATCTCACACAGAGCCAGAATCAACGCGCGTCTGGTTGATCAACTAAGTGGTTAATGTCCAATGGTTATGAAAATGTTCTGAAGTCTAACTATTGTATAGGCACTCGTTTCGTCCCAGAGGGGACATTATTACAAATGATCCCAGAACAAACACATTATGAGAGAGCTTGAAAAATCGACTTTTTTTCCGCCAGACGGATCGAGCTGAAATTTTGGGAAATGAGTTATGAATATTAGTTACACATTTGGTGAAAGTTTCATCTTTACACATATAACGGT